TTAACTTTCATTTTTACTGAGCTCCCCAACCCACCATTACCTACCTAGCATGGTGCTATGTGAACTGCAGAATTTCAGTAAGTTCTTAGTGAATGAACAAAGTGGAAGCCTATATGCAAAAATGCATTTGTATTAACAATTCCATTTATCCTCACCCTATTTTCTGTTTGATATACATAGATGTTACATAGAAAAAATCCATACAAATAAGAAAAGATATTTGCATGGTAACTGGATTTCTGTTCCTTGAAAATTCAGCTGCTCTGCTTTTTCCTGATCTACAGTCATACTTCTGTAACTTTACATGTAGTTGATTTAGAAAGATCAGTGTTGTCAGAGGATAACTTAGGGAAGAACTAAGTAGTGAGAACAATTTTTTTAAAGAAGTTCCTATTGATATAAAATATTCTTTGAAAAAAAAAAAGGAAAGTAAATTCATCTGAGATTATAATAATGAGGCAGATCTATTTCTTAACAGAATGGCTCTCCTATGTTTCCATGAGCTATCACAGGTACTTAATATTAGGAAAGACAGCTCCCACAATGCTCTTACATTTTAAAGAATCCTCAAGGTATTTTTAACTTGTGGACCAACATGTTGAACATCAAAATGTGCAGGCTTAAACCAAGCCAATTAAACAATTTTTCTTGTGTTTATCTTTAGAGGAATAAAGTGTTTAACAAGTAAAGTATATGGATAATGACATGGAACCTATAGGGGATTCTTAATGATTCATGTAAATTAACTAGGTATTTCTGGTATTACCACTTGCAAAGGCCCTTCAAATGTGGTCCTACCTTAAGTTCTTTCATACATTAATTTAACAAACACTAACAAACTATGTGTCTGGCACTGTGGCTAAAAATGTGAAGATTTACTAAATGTTTAGCATAATTGAAGGAGCCAGGCATCAACCAAAATACTCCATAAATAAATCTCACAAATAAATTCTAATTTGGAGGATATGATGTAAGCTGAACACCAATGATTTGTGCCTTTTCTGTATGTATGTTAAACTTCAGTGGATACAAATAATAATGACATCTGCAAACTGGAGGGAGCTTTACAAACCAGTGAGCCCATGTTCCTCATCTTACAGACTGTCTTTGACCCTGTCTTAACTCTGCCCACCTGACCCAGCCCCCCTTTATCCTGTACTTCTTTTTAGAATACTATTATTTGCTAATAAACACCTACAACCCCACACCTGGCTCCATTTTAAAAATCTGTTCACATCTCAATTCAAAAGCCCATGCATGAAGCTTCCTTCCACTGGCCCCACCCAAGTATCTTATCATCAGCACAATGTCAACCTGCATGACAATTTACCTGAACTGTGTGTATATTTTATCCCTTATAATTAAGCACACACTCCTTAAAGGTAGAAGTAGAAAATGCACCACCTTATAACCCCTTACACAGTGTCTCAGTGATTTCTTGTTATTCTAATAAATAACCAGAGCCAGGGAGCAATCATTGCATTTGGGGATCACTGCCCTGTGAGAATGCCTCTGAACATTCAAAACTCATGAAGAAAGGTAAAAGCTAAACCTGGATTCAGAAAACCTATCCTTTATTTTACAAATTTTATTCATGTAGTATTCACTATATAACAAACACTGCTCCAGGTATCTTATGAATATCAACTCATTTATTTTGCAGATGAAGACAAGGAAGCATAAAAAGCTAAAATAACCTAACCTAAATAACGGAGCCAGAATTTTAAGCCTGGGAATGTGACTCCAAATTTCATGCTCTTAACATCTACACTATGCCGCCTCCAAAGTATGAGAGAATACAAAATTAAACTTAATCACCTCCTAAACAAGAAGTTAATTCAGAAAAATAAAATCACCTATCAAAAGGTTAAAAGATTATTTTCTAACTTTTCATTAAAAGTTGATTAAAATGGCTCAAGTTACAATTGTCATAGATGTCTAATCCCACTCTTATCCTCAAAAATATGCCAAGAGGTACCTAATTAATTCACAATGTCATATGACACCTGGGGCTTCTACACTGTAGCTCCTATTATAATTTCCTGCTTCCTTTAGGAACACATTATTACTTTTCTTCCAGCCTCTCAAATGATATGGCCTTCCTGGCTCATTTTTCCAAATCCTTAAATAGCTTAAGTCTGGTTGTGAGGCTTGGTCCTAACACAAATGTCACATCTGGCCTCCTGAACACTTTCATCAGCTTCACCTTGAAGCCACATTCACGTTAAAGGTCAAGAAAGGGTGCCCTGTTCCATAGCAATTCACCCTCACCAGAAAGTAATGCATGCTGCAAAATAGATTCATGAGCAACACAAGACAGATGACAGCTGCAAGCTGAATGTGAGGGTAATCCGGGTAATCACTAGCCCACTGGGTTGAACTCTGAAACTCTGTAAAAGGACATACTGATATAACTTCAAATAATAAGACGCGGCTTTGAATGGAGGGTAGCAAATGTAAGAAGCATACCATTCTGAGTTGCTCCTTGCCAGAAATGTCAGGAGCCTACCAGGGCAAAGGCAGAGGTAGGAAGAATGTTTTTTCACCTTGGGTAAGGTGTAGCTGACCATGCTCTTTTCACTATGGATAGTGCCAAAGTTGCAGAGACATTAAGAGAGGAAAGCAAAATCATTTCTAAATATTAAAGCCATGTAAAGGCCAGGCATGGTGGATCACACCTGTAATCCCAGCACTTTGTGAGGCCCAAGTGGGCTGATCACTTGAGGTCAGGAGTTCGAGACCAGCCTGGCCAACATGGTAAAACCCCCAACTCTAGTAAAATTAGAAAAATTAGCTAGGCATGGTGGCATGTACCTGTAGTCCCAGCTACTCTAGAGGCTGAGGCAAGAGAATTGCTTGAACCTGGGGGCAGAGGTTGTAGTGAGCTGAAATTGTACCACTGCACTACAGCCTGGGTGACAGAGTGAGACATTGTCTCAAAAAAAAAAAAAGCCCATGTGATATAAAATTGTATACCAAAAAGGACTTTTAAACTTAAGACATTAAGTTTATTAATATTTTATCGACAGTTTAGCAACTATCACCTGTGGGCAAGGCAGCAGCCTGTTTTTGTATAGCCCTTTAGGAAAGAATGGTTTTTATATAAATTTTAAGAGAAGTAAAATAACAAGAACAAAAACTCTTTGTGGGCAGCATAGTGTAAAATATTATCCAACCCTTTATTGAAAAAATCTGCAGACCCCTAGGTGAAAACATGCATTCTAAGAGTTAAGATTTAGTTCAACCATAGAGGTTCAGATACAAAGTAATCAAAAAAAAAAAATCATAGGAGTGCAATGGCATTCAATAGCATCCTCCAATCAAATGGGTGAGCCATGTTAAAAGTCTGGGCCTAGTTACTGATGTCTACTTACATTCCTTTGGTTCTTACTGTCCACTGCAGTTAGAAACTGGAAAAATATTTAGTAAGGAATAAAAGGGACAACATATAGATTACTCATATGTATTAACTATTTTGTCTCTCCCAAAACATGTAGCAAGCAAACACCACATTCTTTTGGATTAAGACACCTACTTATTTATGATTTATTCTATCACAACCACCAAACTCAACACTTCACATACATATAAAATTTCTCTTAGTTTCTTTCATGTAGCTCCCTAACGGCTGGGATTTATTGTCTGCTTTGTTCACTAACAAATCCCCAACATGGGTGCTCAACAAATTTATCATTATTAATGAATCCTCACAAGAGAGTGAGCCAATCTTTAGTATTACTCATATGTAGGAAATGAGGCTTAGAGAGATGAATAACTTGGCCTATTCAATAGTGTCAAAGCTAGAACTTGAATTCTGGTATTCTGACTCTACAGTCTAAGTGAAGCCCTATGCTTCTATATAAACATGTGCCAACAGAATGTCTAACTTCCGTTGGACTATTAAGGTGTGAACTATAATGCTTCTGTTATTGCAACTAGCAGTGCCAGTTTTAAATTTCCTATTCTCAGACGACCCATGTGCTACAGCAAAACAAACACACAACTCAATGTCTTCATGTACTCACTCTAGCAAAAGTGTCACTTTTCTAACAAGTGCAATGTCATTTTGTCACAGACATTAAAAGTCTTTGTAAAATATAAGTGCAAAACTCTTGACATTTAAGTCCTTTCCGTTATTAAAGAAAAAGTTGTATTGCTTATACTTTGTGCAACTAAGTAACTTAAGTTCTGCAAGTTAGAAATTAAAGGGAAAAAAAAAAGTCCAAAAAAGAAATATGCTTGTGACTCTTACAAAGAAAACCTGCCAGTGATCTTCATACAGAAACTTAGCTGTACACACAGCAAGTGCTCAATAAATATGCTTTTTAGAAGAAACGAAAAGTGATACAAAGCCTTTGAGTACTTAGAGGACTCCCACAGTATGACAAAAGGAAGGAAAACAGTATAAACAGCATCACTAAAAGCTGCGACATCAGACATGATGCAAACTAAGGAAACGAGAAATTTCTGCCATTTCCAATCTATACCTAAGGTGGGTTCCCGATACTCCATCCTATCCCACCAGAAAAAGATGGCATGGAGAAAATATCAAAAAGGCCAATTTAACTTAGAGCGGCAGCTGCTTCTAATTTAGAGGGTCTCCGGGTCGGCCTGGCAGCCGAATGCGCCATAGCTCCTGGAAAGCAGCGAGGTAATCAGAAGCCTTAGCCCCACTCCAGACCTAGATTCAAACTCTGGAGGCGGGGCCAGGATGACTATTGGTTAGCCACACCTCCAGACGGTTCTTCAGCCCGCTGAAATTCAAAAACTACCGTTGCAGTTGGATTTAGGGCAAGGGGAGGCTGGGAAGACGCCCCGAAAGAAAGTGAATGAGAGACAAAAGTTGGTAACACTAGATCCCTGGGCAGATGCTAACTGAACGCCGACCCGACTGCAGCGCGGGAACGGAAGGAGGAAACAGAAGATTTGAAAAGATTCCCCCGTCCCCAGACTGGGCGACCGGTGCCCACGTAGCCACCCCCTTGAGGCTCCGTCTTTACCAACGCGAGCAACGCAGCAGCTTCTCCAGGCGGTCGAGCGCGGCTCGACTGTGGGCCCACGCCCCGCCACCGGCCGGATCCATGGCGGGCGCAGAGCAAGGCTCGTTCCCGGAGCGGACCGTCGGCTGCCGGTTCCTCGGCTGCGGGTTCCCCGGCATCGCCCCGCCTTGGTGTGAAAGGCTCCTCGGAGAGCCGGAGGCAAGGAGGTCTCGAGAAACCACAGGGAAGCTGCAGGCCAGCGACTCGACCCTTGCCGAGCTCTTCCCGCCTCTCCGACGGCGGGCCGGCCTGAGGGCGGGGCCGCGAGAGCCACCCACTGGCTGAGTGGGCGGGGTCTAGTGGTGGGGCTAGAGGCTGAAACTGGCCAAAGTCCCGGCGCACGGGACCCAGGGGCGGGGCCGGACTGCTGAAACTTGCCAAAGTCCTGGCGCGCGAGGCCTAGAGGCGGAGCCGCGAGAACTCGCCGCGGGACGGATGGGCGGGGCCTAGGTGCCTGGGGGCGGGACAGGACGGCAGAAACTGCAGGCCGGGCGGGTGGGGCCCAGGGGCGGGGCCTCGAGCGCGCGCCGCCGGACCGAAGGGGCGGGGCCGCAGTCGGGAGCCTGAAGTTGGCGGGAGAGCGGGCGGGGCCTGAAGCCGACCTGGGCCGCCGGAAAGGATGAAGTCCTGGTAGAAAGCCAGTCGCCGTTTCCCTGGAGCTACGACTCCAAGGACTCATCCGAACTTAACCGTTGGAATAAGCACAACTCAGAAACTTTTAGTTGAGTGTTACCTATAAAAAGCACTCTTTTCATAACTGTTGAACTTGGAAAAGCTTCGCCCGGGATACTGAAGGTACCACTCTCTTTTTTCCTAGGAGAGCAACCTTTTCGTCCCTCTCACCCCAGCTGTGGCGTATATAGTAACCGAGTAAAAATAAGGCAAGTTTGTATCTTATTCTAACTAGTTAAAAATAGCCCAAAGTCATGTCTGAAAAGATCTAGTTTACTTTTAAAATTGAGAAAAAACCTGTTTTTTTTGTTAGAGAGTGTGCCCAGCTTCTGCCTACGGATCTTTCACTGATCACCGTATTTTACACGTAAGACCTGCAGAGCAACCCGTAACGCCTCTCTGCCTTCCCCAGAGTTAATTTCCAAGTCCTTGCATTTTTCCCCCCTAACTTGTCTCCAATGCACCCATTTCTCTCCGTTTCTGCTCCACAACATCCCCAGTTGCCTCCTGCTCACCTGGTTTCCTGCCGTAGTTTTCTAGCTGGTATCCAAGGGTCTACCCAGGTCCCACCCAGTCCCGAGACCACGGTGTAACAGCCTAAAACATTTCCAAACACAAAACTCATGTTAGCACGTTCCTTTCTTAAAACTCTTTAACGTTTTCCGCTGCTCTTTGACTAGCCTCTTGTCAAAACCTCCTCTGGCCCTCAGGTTCCCAACCCCACAGGGCGTTCCCCCAGGTCATTAAAAGCCCCTGCACCTTGCTGCCTCGTGGCTTTTGCGGAGATTCCCTTTGGAAGCTGAAATTGTACTCTTCCCCATTCCTCATCCTTCAGATTGCAGCTCAAGTATCACTCCTTAAAGGTTTTTCTAATTCCTAGACTAGATTCTCTTAGGTGCATCATATCACCTGTGTGTGTAGAAGATACACACACATACAATTATGTCCGGGTCCCCTTCTAGTTCTAAACCTCCAAAAGTCCAGAGACTGGCTGCATGTGACTCGTTTTACTATATAGCTTCATGTGGCACGTGCAATGCTTGCCTCCAGGTAGGTGCTCAGTGTTTGTTGAATATGTGAACTACCTACAAGCCAGACCCGGCTTTAAGGACTTTCCTATATTAATTCCTGCCTTAAGCCTTATAGGGACCCTATGAAATGGGCATTAGTATCTCTTTTGTCACCCCCAAATTCACATGTTAAAAGCTCCAACCGCAACGTGATGGTATTTGGAGTCGACTTTGGGGAGTAATTAGATTTAGATGGGGTTATGAGGGCAGAGCCTCCATGATGAATCAATGTCCTTGTAAGAAGAGAAAGAGTTCTCAGTCTCCACCACTTGAGGACACAGCAAGAACACAGAGAAGAGGGCCCTCCCCCAAACCCAGTCCTGCTGGCACCCTAATCTCAGACTGCTAACCTCCAGAAATACGACAAATGTCTGTTGCTTAAGTCACCTAGATTATAGTATTTTATTCTAGCAACTAAGACAGTGCTCTTTGAAAGAGGAAGGTTTTTTGTTTTTTTTTTTTTTTTTGAGACGGAGTTTCGCTGTTGTTACCCAGACTGGAGTGCAATGGCACGATCTCGGCTTACCGCAGCCTCCGCCTTCTGGGTTCAAGCAATCTCCTGCCTCACCCTCCCGTTTAGCTGGTATTACAGGCACACGCCACCATGCCCAGCTAATTTTTGTATTTTTAGTAGAGACGGGGTTTCACCTCGTTGACCAGGATGGCCTTGATCTCTTGACCTCGTGATCCACCCACCTCGGCCTCCCAAAGTGCTGGGATTATAGGCGTGAGCCACTGCGCCCGGCCAAGGAAGCAGGTTGTGGCTCGGAGATCTTAATTTACTTGAAGAGGCTCAGCACATGCCTGTAGTCCCAGCTACTCCGGAGGCTGAGGCAGGAGGATCACTTCAGCCCCAGAGTAAATTATGTTTTTGGTCTTTTGTTTGCGGGGGAGGGGGAGGTTGAGACAAGGTTTCACTGTTGCCCAGGCTGGAGTACAGTGGTACCGTCTCAGCTCACTGCAGCTGTGAACTCCTGGGGTCAAGTGACCCTCCCACCTTAACCTCCAAAGTAGCTGGGACCTGTCCAGGCACACTCCACCATGCCTGGCTAATTTTTTTTTTTTTTTTTTTTAGAGGCACGGTCTCTCTATTTTGGCCAGGCTGCTCTAGAACTCCTGGCTTCAAACAATCCTTCCACCTCAGCCTCCCAAAATGCCGGGATTACAGGTGTGAACAATGTGCCTTGTAGTGCCACTAAATTATGAAAACTCAAATAATTTAAATGACTTGGCCAAAAATCACACAGTTGGTTAGTAAGAATGAGTACAACAAAATAAGGCTTTATTAGATGTTTTAACTAAAACTATGATAGCACACAAACCAATTTTTTTTTTTTTTTAACTTAGAGGCACCTAAGAAGTTAGTCCTTATTAATCCTGTTAAGCCATTGCTTACTCTTTATTGAGCCTGGGAGAAATCAAATTCTAGAAAACTTAAAAGGGGTCAAGCATGATGGCTCTTGCTGGTAATCCCAGCACTTTGGGAGGCCAAGGCAGGTGAATCACCTGAGGTCAGGACTTCAAGGCTAGCCTAGCCAACATGGTGAAACCTGGTCTCTACTAAAAATACAGAAGTTATCCGGGTGTGGTGGCGTGTGCCTGTAATCCCAGTTACTGGGTAGGTAGGCTGAGGCAGGAAAATAGCTTGAACCCAGGAGGTGGAGGTTGCAGTGAGCTGAGATGACATCACTGCACTCCAGCCTGGGCAACAGAGTGAGACTGTCAGAAAGAAAGAAAGAGACTGGGGAGGGACGGAGGGAGGGAAGGCAGGGAAGGAAGGGAGGAAAGCTTAAAATGCTAAAACCTGGAGAGATATATTGTGGTGTTAATGGAGTCAGTTGAGGATTTCAGGAGACAGATTGTTCCACCTCTAATCCCACCTTCCCTAAATAATTGTGTGATTTAAACGAAGCCTTAAACTCTCTGAGCGTTAGTTTCCTTGTCTGCAAAATGGGGATAATATTTATCAGATAGATTTAGAGGACTATTAAATAAGATTAAATGTAAAATCACAGACACCATAAGTACTCAATAAATGGTAACTGTTGAGGATGATTATGTACAATCAGTACTGTCAGTGCTTTCTTTACTAAAGAATAACACTAAACATTTTTATCAATTATATTTTTTGACTAAGGGCACAATTTTTGGGGGGGCAGGGAGACGAGTCTTGCTCTGTCACCCAGGCTGGAGTGCAGTGGCACAGTCTTATCTCAGTATAACCTCTGCCTCCCAGGTTCAAGTGATTCTTGTGCCTCATCCTTCCAAGTAGCTGGGACTACAGGAATGCGCCACCATACTTAGGGCACAATTTAACTGTGATCAGAGTAAATGAAAATTTCACATTTTGGTAAAACACTTTGGGACCAAACAGTTATAACTGGCCTATTCATGCCATGCTATTAAATTAATTATGAGGCAGATGAAATGAGTTCTTTCTACTGTTATTTTCCTTTCTTCTGCCATTGTCTGGTTCCCTCTTCCCAAGGGTCATGACATTCGGGGCAGCTCTTTGATAGTGGCCATAATTAAACTCATAAATAAGCAAGATTACTCTCCCATGTGCAACTTCCCATTCCATCTTCCTTGCTTTGCTACAGCTTAGCTTGCAGGTGCTTTGCTTTTAGTGGAGATGAGATGTTTGTTTTGAACAACTCTTCCTCTTAACCCTGGATCCTGAGTTTCAAGGGCAAATTCCTTCTCCCATGGGGTACATCAACAATGTGTAAAATCCTAGAATTCTTGTCTCAGAGAAAAAGTTCTGCAGGGGAATCTAGCCATCAGCAGGGTCTCAGTAAAGCTGTGGTTTAGGACATTAACAACATCATTTTCTCTCTTTAAAAAGGGCTAAACGGGCGGGTGCGGTGGTTTACGCCTGTAATCCCAGTACTTTGGGAGGCCCAGGCGGGCAAATTGCTAGGTCAGGAATTAAGACTAGCCTGACAAACATGGTGAAACCCCATCTCTACTAAAAATGCGAAAATTAGCTGGGCATGGTGGCATGCGCCTGTAATCCCAGTGGGAGGCTGAGGGAGGAGAATCCCTTCAACCCAGGAGGCAGAGATTACAGTGAGGCGAGATTGCACCACTGCACTCTAGTCTGGGTGACAGAGCGAGACTCCATCTCAAAAAAAAAAAAAAAAAGGGCAAAGTGGTATCATTTCTTTTTCATTTTTTTCTTGCAGGGACTTCCTGTGTACATAAAGTTTAGTCTTGTTGCTCCATTTCACTCCTGTTCTCTTCCTAGTAAGCAGTATTCCCAAGATCATCCTTCCCTCCCCCAGTGTAACACTCTAATCCTGCGGGGGGTGGGGGGCGGGGGGGGGGATTCCGAGGCACATGGATAAGCTTTCTTTAGTCTTATTTACCCATCCTCCTCTCTCCATGCCCACTTAACCCTCAACCCTCCGATTGTTTCAGTTACCCTCTGTACCCTACGAAGGCATCTCCAGCCTTGATCTGTTTTCTGATCTTCAGGCTTATATAATGATTTGTTGAAAACAGTCAAAATGCTGTTTTTTCTTCTTTTGTATTATGAAGTGTTTATTACGAAGTATATTATGAAGAGGTAAATCTTCCTCATATTCATTTAGATAAACATATATAAGAAGCAGATGGGATATGCATAATACCCAGACTCTACTCCCAAGGAGCGTAAAGATAACTCACAAATTCTTACCTTTATATTAATTCTTCTCTGACTTTCACAGTATTGTGCACTGGAATTGGCCATTTCAACTTCCTGAGAGCATTCTTTTTGTCAGATGTAAATTTTGTTTGCAAGGAAAGCTTTGTGAAATGTAGTTCCACCCAAAAACAAATGCAGTTTGAAACATCTGATAAGGAGCAGTTGAATATGGTAGTTGCTGGAATGGAGCAGAGCGTCCCAGCATCTGGGACTGTGGTATATGCTCTGCACCTTTGACTGAGCTTGACTTTATGTGATGCTGTTAAGGTAAAGTCATATGCTTTGTGCTGTTTTTTTCTGAAATTTGGTGTGGTGTAGTGAGTAAGTGTACTGTGACCTGGAGTCAAGCAAAACAATTATAAACC